AAAGTTAGCGTTGTTGAAGCGCATGCGCAGGTGGCTCTTGTCTGCTTATACTCTTTGGCCGTGCTGTATACTCTAGTATCGCTTGTCCTCTCTCGCTCTCGTGTGTTTCCCGATAGTAGGCGAGTTGGGTAGTAGTATCATACCCTCTCTTTCGTCGGCGCGCGATGGAATGATGCGACGCTGGCGGCGGCGGTGGCGGCGGTGGCGGCGGCAGGGCACTGCGAAAGGTTAGCGCGAGTGAGGTCTCCATGGCAACGAGGCGAGGCGGGAATGCGACGGTAACCATGGCAGCCGAGCGCTCTCTCTCTCTTTCTTTCAATTCCTGCCTCACGCCTCACTCTCGGGCCAACCTGTCTGTCCTCTTTCTGCTCCGTCTTCTCCTCATCGGGACCTCTTCCTTCCGCCCACGGGAACCTGCTCTCTCTCTCTCTCTCTCTCTCGCTCCCCTCTCTTACCCTCTCTCTGTCTCACCTGCTGTTTTGCGGGCCAGAGAGAATCATACTTTTCTCCTTTCTTTTGCAATCCGCCGTTTATACCTCCGTTCTCTTCTCTCTTTCGCCACTTGCCTTTTCTTGCCATGGCCACGTCATGTTACTCTTTCTCTCTCGTTTGTTTTGGAAAGCAGCAGGAGAACTAAAAGGGGGTTGAAGGAGGAGCACTGAATGGTAGACACGAGAGAAAGAGAGCCGAAGAATGGAGAAAAGAAGGACTCGCGCGATGGTTCCGCGCTCTTCAATACTCCGTACTCTAATACTCGCGCTTTTTCATATCCGTACGTCTGACCAATGTATTCTCAGTAATACGCGTGCACACACACACACACACACACAAATATGGACGAATTGGTCAGAGCGCGAGTGCGAGAACGACGTTATGACCTTAGGGAGTGTACAGGGGGTGGGGAGGGTGGTGGACAGTATTTGCTTTTGACGTCATAGAGTCGGTCGAGTAGATTGACCTTGAGATTCGAGGCAATCGATAAGCTCGTATGGTGATCTTGTTTTTCTCCTTTTTTTTTTTGGCGAGCGTCTCGATTAAGATGAGTGATCGGCGAGACGTTTTTACGTAGTCGGTGACGATAGCGATTTCTTATCAGTCAGTTGAGGATGTAGTGCCTTGTTAGAGCTCCGCCTGACTCTTTGCCTTATCCTCCCCACGTCGGACAAAGTAATTTAGCTTAATTAGATTAATTACGCTAATTGATATTATGTGGAACTTGCTTTTCGATTTTAACGTTTCACCGTGATTCATCATTATTAAATTCTGTTAATTTTTCACTTACATCCGTATAGCCAATAATTATGAGGAACAAAAGTATTTAGCTCGGGAATTAAAATAATCGAATGATAAATTATATGCATATTAAGTGTGTGGAATTATTTCTAAATAAATCATA